GTGGTGTTATAACGTACAATGGCTTTTATGTCCAGAGCTGACCCGTAAATTGAAGCGGATAATATAATAATATAAATCACTAATTCGCTCAGAGATAAATGTATTATTGATTTTACAATGATGAATGTTTTTTTTTTTTGTTCATCTGTCGTCATTAAAAATGCTTTAAGTCAACTTAAATATATTTTTTTAGAAAAAGTGATTTTAGAAGGTACTTTGTAGAGCCAAAAGCAATGACCAGAACTTTTCTAAATAATTGGAAAGAAAAAAAAAAGGTAATATGACGTACGCAAAACTAGTTTTTGACGAAACCGATTTTCTTCTACCTAACCTAACTTACTTGAAATTTTAACCACAATATGTTTATATTATCATTTTCTGTGCACGGTATTAACAATACCATGTATAGGTATCATGGTTTCAAAATATTTTGAATTTGTTGAGCCTAAATAGCTGTGTATACTTGAAATTGTCACCAAATTATGTTTTCATTATCCTTTTCTATGCATGGTGTAAATAATATCATATATCATGGTTTCAACAATTTTTGAATTTTTGAGCTATTTATAGTCACTTGAAATGTTTGATTTTTTTTTAGCTCAAGTATTTTCTATGATTGATAAAATTTTTTTCGCAAAAAAATGTTTAAAATGTAATACCTACGAATTTACTGATACGTTATTGTTAAAGCTTTTTATAAACATTAGACGTACATAGGAACGATTTTTTATTATAATTTGTTGTTTAAAAATCCTATTTTAAGGTTTTTAAGAAACCTATTCATATTTCATACCTTTGAACCTTTCTATGGTAAGTTGGTATTATTTCAAAAGTCAAAAACGGTAATTTATTGTGTATAGGTATGTATGTAGTAATTACATATTATTTGTATAATAAATGCAATGTATTCCTATTCGTAACCGCCTATACAAACAAAAAAATATTAGTTTTTCGAAAGCCAACAAATACGGCTTTCAGTCTAATTATTAAATTTTAATTATGGACAACCTTTTCTTAGTGCACCTCCACATAGTATACACAGAGGTAAAACATAAATTTCAAGTCACTAGCATCACAGTATTTAGTCAGGATATAATTTTTTATATATACAGATTTTGCCCATCAAATTAAGTAGATACCTATTATAAGTTTGTTGTGTATTTCACTATAATTATTTATGTATTAATAATAAAAATGTGATATATGAAATGTAATACGAAGACCAAAATATGAAATAACTTGTTTTATACAATATTTTTAAGTTTTTTTTTCCAATAATAACTATCGTAAATTATCATGAATATGTAATGAAACAGTAATTTTTCTATAATATGTTTTATTTAATAAGTTATGTAATACGTCAAGAGTAGTACCTAATAATATTAATATATTTATTAAAACACTATTTTCATATTTTAGTTTAACAACTAAATATTAAGTCTCAGAGAGTGGAAATATTTTTAAATTAAACCTTAAATTTACTGGAAGTTGTAGATTCTAATAAAGGTATCTTAACCGTATTGGTAGAAAAAACGATCTGGCAATGTTGCAAAAAAAAAAAAAAAAAAACAGTTGAAAACGATATCGAAAGTGGTACCAATGGAAAATATACAATAGCAATCGTTCCGTCCATTATCGTGTATCCCACTTGTATTGATATATTTCTAACGGTCCTAAACTAATCAATTACATTTGGGCACTTTGAAGATCCTCTAAAGTTCATATTATAATATAGTTATGATTATAGTTTACATACGATTGTTGTATCATTAAACAAAATGATTTATAAGTTATAGCTAAAAGCCTAAAACATATTTTATAGGTAAATCAAATTATGTTTATACACTTAAGGTTCTAGGAATATTACACGAAAATAATATGATTAATAATATGTTAATTAAAAGGTCTTAGGGTAAATTAATGTAAGTGCGTTTATATTATATTGTTGTAGCAAAATCTTTTAGAGATGAACGTCCAATGTAGATCTACTTAGATTTAGCAGTTGACAAATATAAATACAATAATTTTAACAACAATACTATGTCTATAATATGACTATATAGCAATAAACCATTCAATCCAAATTAATTGCTTGAATATTAAATAATAATCTTTAATAAATTATTTTAAAAAATGTGTTAATAATTGATAGTAGATATGATTTGCATTTAAACTTTCAAAATTTAAAGATTATTAAAATAAAATGATTTAAAATCTATAATATAATAATTTTCAATTTCTAACATAAAGGATTCAGGAGACCGTTTAAACTTTTTAAAGTGATATTAAATTCATGGATTTGGAAATATATTATTATATTAAGTAATTTAATAAGCTAATGGGGATAATTTTATGAAAATATTTATATTTTATTTACTATGTTTATTTTTACTCTTGGAAGCTTATACTTTCGATTCAACTTATTATCAGTAGGCAAATACTATAAATTGAGTACTATGATAGGAGTAGTCCGTATCTAAATAGAATTATGTATTTGAGGTACATATTATTATTATTACATTTTGCATGCTTTTTTTTAGTTTGTGAACAATATTAATTTCATCTTATTTGTATTATACACCAATTATATTATATTTATTCTATATTTCTATTATGATAATATGTTTGGGGGACGAAGTGGCCGAGAGGACTAAAGTGTCGGTTCAACGCGCACCGTCGATGGTTCGAACTCAGCCACGGGTGGCATTTTTCTACGGGCAGTAACGGAATCCAGGGAGAGAGGCCGCCATCCCCCACCAAGCATGGCAGATACCTAAGGGTGTCCACTAAAAAATGCTGCGAAAAACAAACACACACGTGTTCAAAACCCACAGTGCCCTCCCGCACAGTTCCACAGGCTAATGACCTCTGTTGTCGAAGCCTCAACCCAAAAAAAAAAAATATATGTTATTGGTAAACGCTTTACATCCGTTTCATTAGAGATTTAAAAAAAAAAAGAATGAGTTTTGTTTTTATTATTTTGATTCAACCTAAGTCTCATCGTTAGGAACTTAATCGTATGTCATGATTATAGATTGAGAGTAAATGATCTTATCGAATGTTCAAATTAAATGTGCCAAAAATACTTTGAAATACGGAGCTAAAATTATAGGGGCAAATGGAGTAATACGGTATGCATCTGTATAAAATATGGCCTAATTTGTTAATAATATTATTCGAAATGCTTGAATTGGTCAAATATGAATTTTTGATAAATATAACGAAATATGTAAAAATATGCAAAGTAAAACTTTGTTACTTACCTGAACTAGAATATTCTACAACCTTTACAAAAAAACATGCAAATGCAAGAATTCCCGAACCCTAACTGAGATAATATTATATTAAGTATACAATTTGTGATATTTCAGTTATTTTTTATTCGTCTGGACTGTACGAATTTTAATGGGCAAAAAATAAAATGTTCAGTCAAATTATTTTAGGCAATTCGCATTTGTTCAGTAATTTTAATAAAGCGTTATTTTTTGTCCGTTCACCATGATGACATAATTATACTGATATCTATCACCTTTAGAAGATCAGTAAAAGTTATAAAAAATATAATATGTCTAGCCTAATAGAATTAAAATATATATTAATTCCATATAGGCCATTTATTATTATAGTACCTGGTTGTATAAATATTTCTAAAAATTGTAAAATTGTGAAATTCTTGTTACAAAATATTATATTCATCTACGATGATAAAATGAAAATTGACTTCGTAAATGTATATTATATTTTATTGAATACTAGCTGATTGCGAGCACTCCGTTTCCCGTAAAAAATGGCAAATCTTAAAAAATTGTGATTATTTATCTCTTATTGGTTGTAACTCACTATAGTAGCTATAGTAAGTGCAACTCTGACTACGTTGGATCACGAATAATGTGCAACAGCATATCAAATAAACAATCCACCTGTGGTGGATTGCGATCACGCCGGTTAGCGACTATAAGTACAACTCAACCACCTTGGTATGCTATGTGGAAAAATTCGATTTGATGCGTATCTGCCCGATTAACCAATGGCAACCAATAAAATAATAAATGAAAATTTCTACTAATTATTAATCCTCCTAAATATCAACCATTTATAAAGAAAAATGTCCATCGTAAATCTCAAAATTTCTGTTTGAGCATTTTCCCGGGTTGAACCTACCTAGTCCAATTGTGAATCTAAATCATCCCGAAAACCACTCAAATACACACAAAAAATGTCATCAACATTGGTCCAGCCATTTAGGAATGCATGGAGGACATTCGGACAAACATTCATTTTTATGTATATTATAAAAAACGAATATAGTATTGAAGAAAAATGAAAGGTATTATACACATAATAATAAGAACGCTTGTAAGATATAGCTAAAAGGTAAAATCAGTATAAAATAATAATACGTTATACTGACTTTACAATACACTTGTGAGTTTTATAATTATTATGGATAAAATAAATGTTATTTACCATTTTATTGCCATCATGTGTTATATTCGTCGTTGAAAAGGTGAATCGTGTCCAACTCCTTTTATATTTTGAAGTAGCTTGGTGACAAATAGTGTTGCTTAAATCTTTGGGCGTTGACTACACTACAAAACGGCAGAGAACTTTGTCTGAATCTAAAAACAAAAAAATAAAAAGAAGAAGAAAAATAAAGTCTGTTTTTGTCACACCAAGTGGATTATTTTAACAATAATTCGAAGCACGTCCCAGGCGGATAACCTTGTTTCTCCGATATACCTGCACCAATTTATATTGTTTACGTGCTCGGTGGCTTTTTTTTTATATTTAACTTGAATTACGACCCATGGCGTTTTGGTTAAAAAATTAAATCTAAAATAGCAAAATTAAATACCAAGCGTAATAGGTCGTAGTAGAGGATTATAACCCAATTACAATATAAACAGCGTAGGTATTTAAACAGTGAACGCCAAAACCGCATCTGATTTACGTTCTTACTGCGCGCCGGTCGTATCCGACGAACGCGAGTCAAGGACGGGTCACGTAGTCAATTGCACCGCCCAAGTGGAATTACACCAAATATATTTTAATATAAAACCCGAAAGTCCAGGGGACACTAGACTACGTGCTCCTTTTTGGTCTCTTCTATCGATTAGAGAAGTCTTGACACGTGCAGTAATTGTTGTCCTGCGGTGTTGGATTTTCTTGGGTGTGGAGGGTGGTACGTCGTCGAGATGGTCTTCCACCCCGCCGATATCGAGCATTTCCTTCTGTCTCTCAACTGTTTCGATTTGGCGTCTTTCGGCATTGGTACACAACATTATTCATTGAACTAAATTGTTTAATTATAGCCGATCCCTCCAGTTACTCTAAACACTGTTGTATCTATTGTGTGTTTCACTTATTAATCAATTTTCCATTTTAGACTCTGAACAAAGCGAATACAGGGTCAACGACTATATTTAAGTTTTTTTTTTCTTGGCCAAATAAAATTATCGCATACCGCTCATGTCAAGTTGAACATTATGAAGAGCTAATATTTTTCCATACAGTTTTCGAAAAAAATTGTAAATAAATTAAGTCACCCAGTTATTTTTTATTTGAACAAAATAACTTGGTTATAACTTATAATTGTATTATTATGATTTCATGCCCAAATCTTTTTACGATCAGAATAGTAATCCCGATAATATTATAATGAGCAAAATATTATGGTTTGTTCATTTTGCACGACACTGTCAATCTCGTACATCATAATATTATCGTTCATAACAAAACGTAGTAAGATATAGTGAAAACCAATCGACCTTATAATATTATGTTGTTGGCGTGAAATTGACTTGCACACAACTGTTATTACATCGAACACTGCTGCTTACCGGTGTTTTGCAAATTACTTTTATCATTTTTTTTCTATTCAAATTGAAACAAACTTTTAATTTGGCCGAGAATTCACGAAAAAGCACGGTGTTTAATATTATGTAAACACGTAAAAACACCATTTACAAAACCCGTCGTGCCTGTCACACAGAATGTTGTCAAGTACAAAGTGGAACTTGAAAATATTGAATTTACGATGGTGGCTCTTAAACGTGTTTATTAAATTTCCGTTGCCATTCCGTTGAGTGTACAATTTATTACAAACCTGGAAGAGCATTATATTAATAATTGGTAATTTTTATAATATCATGACGTGTCTTACTATATATACCTACGTACAATTTTTATTTAGAAGTTAGGATATTGATTTTTGTTACAGCTCACACAGTTGTTGAAATATAAGAAATATTTAGTATTTTGCATAATATTATATTTCATCATTGAGTAAATCACTGTAATGTATGTGTTAAATTTGAGTTTAATGATAAATCATTGTGTAAGAGAATGATCTGATCTGAGCATAGGTGGTTTATCAGACTCTATTAATTCTAAATATCCGATTTTGTCAACATTTGAAATTATAACAATTATAACAAATAGTCAATATTTTTTTGATTTGATATTTTTTATGAGCTATTAGAACAACATTTATGCTGAATTCAATTACATTCAGTAATTTTAACTTGGAAAAAATAATATAATCGAAATAGATTGATTTTTGGTGTATGAAATTTCAAGTAATTCATTTTTGAATTACAACAAAACAATAAAATCGATTTATTTTGAAATAGTTGTGGTGTATGCAAAAGTGTTCCCACATTACAATATTTCTCTTTTAGTTTTTCTAGATTATTTTGAAAAATAATGGAAATATCCTACTTTACTTCCCCCTCCATCACACACATACACAGACTAAGGAAAAACTATATCCAATTTTCAACAAGAAACTACTAATCAATATTTAAGATTAAACCATATTTAAGCAAAAAACAGTGTCATCAGAAAAAAAAGGTATATCAGTATTGTAAAACCAAAAAATTCATCATAAGAATTTATTGTAGTGAACAAATTAAAGTGAGTCAATTGGAACACGATGTTTTGTAATAACTTCAAAAAGAACAAATGGAAGATAGTACCTAATTGAAAGTAAATAAAACATTTTGTTTTGAAATTACAAAAAAACATTATGAAGTACAAATATTCATCTGTTTAAAAACCCTCATTGAAATTTGACGTAATGAGTAAATTACTCGAACCATTGTTAAGGATTTTAAATTATTATTATTTGTTTGAAATCTATAATAATATCGTGTTTCAGAATCTAGTGCCCCATTCAATGTTCCGTTGAATGATGACGGTGTCACATATTTTTTTAACACCCTGGATATTTATCACTGACCTAAATACATGGAATGCTTATTATATATAATTTTCATGTAATAATATATAAAATATGCCTAGTACCTATATGGGAGCCGCCATACTATGTATTCCGTTTTGTTTTAGATTCTGAGTGAAACGATGAATGTATTGATTTTACAATGATGTGTGTTTTTTTTTTTTTTGTGTCTGTGTACACGATTAAACATAATTTGTGTTACACGATCACATAAACTGTTTAAAAGTCATAATTTTTAAAATGTTGTGTTACACCCACTTAAACTGAAGAAATCTCCCGGTAAAACAGGTGCTCAGAACATACAAATATATACTACTACTTACTAGTCTAGTATAATTTATGATCTATTTATTGAAAATAAATCTTTGTTTTAATAAAAACTTAACATATAAGTACTTAGAAATTCCTACTTTGGTAAGTACCTACATTTTCAAGTACATCAAATTTTCTGTCAAAATCTACACCTAAACCGTTCAACATTGAAACATTTTCAACTCAAAAAAATTAAACAAATACATGCAAATACACATTAATATAAAACCAATAGGTACATTAAATGATCTAAAAGTTCGAAGTATGAAGTTGTTAATTTTGAAAAAAAAAACAATATTATAAAAATGTTTTTTCATTTAGTAAGCTAAGTGGCATTTCATTCCCTAAAGAACTTTGGATCTAAATAGTCTACAAAAGACATCTCAAAGGAGTTTTTAGTATAATTCAGTATTTCTTAAACTGTGTTCCTCGGAACCCCAGGTTTCCGAGAAGATCACTTAAGGGTTCCGCGAAACTTATAAGTGCTTATTTCAACATTTCCAAGAATATTAATTCAAAAAAATCCAACTGAAAAATCAGTAGCGGTTAGTGGTAAAAATATAAATGTTTGTATAATAAATAATAATATAATATGACATACAGTCGTATAGTATTCTTAATAAAAAACTATGCAGTATAACAGAGTATGCAGAAATAATATTTGAACGTCTTTGATAAAAATACTAATTGGTTACTACCGCCCGCTCCTGGGAAACTAAGTAATATTATACTTATAACTAGTACGTGATAACTAGTACAGATAAAATAACGATTTAGTTACAATACGACAGTCGACTGTGCCTTGGGACACTGTGCGTTATACTTATATGTTATAGTGAAGAAATATAGTGAATACCTACATTTTAGATTTTTGCTAGTTTTGCTTAAATTGTATTGGTTTTATCGTTGAAATTCATTGTGAACTTAAAGAGAAAAATTTAGAATTCTTTCTTCAAAAGCACGACTAACACTTAAAATCAAAAACATTTGTGGTTCAAACCACAAAACACGTAAATGAAAAAGAAACTGAGCCTTCTTGTTTAGTCAAGTACCAGAGATTTCGACGTGGTGAAGCCTACTCAATTGCTGAAAATCTTATACAACCTAGTGCTGTAGAGATGGTAAAATGTATGTTAGATGAAAAATCAACAAAATAAATAGCTAAAATCTCACAGTCTAATTACATGGTAACTCAGTGTATGAAGAATGAACTTAATTTGAGTTTCAAATCATCCAAATTATCATTACAAAAGCCACTGATATAGCTGGACCTGCAATATTAATTGTCATCGTTATAGGTATCAGCCCGAAAGTACATTATTGAAGGATGTTCTTTTGTGTAAATCTCTACCAACAAGTACTACGGGAGTTGAAATGTTCTTTAGTATTCTAAATTCCTTGATGAGAATGAAATACCATGGGACAACTGTGCTGATATTTGTACCGATGGAGCAATTGCTATGAGTGGTATATATAATGGAGCTGTACAGCACATTAAAAATATTTCCAACAACTGGTCTAGTCACTGCATGATACATTGGCAGAAACTGGCTGCAAAAAACTATCAATTAGTTTTAAGAATCCTCTTGATGAGATCGTAAGAATCTTCAAAATTCTATGTGAGAGCATGGACAGTGTACATACATGATATAGTCTAGTTTAAATAAAAAATATATTCATTGGAGAGATCATTCAGCACCTTACTAGATTGAGTGAAGCATTTAATCAGTATTTTCTAAATGAACAGTAGGTTAAATGTCAGAATTAAATGTGGATTAAAAATCTATTTATTATTAATGTATGATCTTCTACCATGCCAGCTGTCAACAATAATAGACTATGACACTTTTATTAAAAATACATTTGATTCATCGTTGTAAGAAAAAATCAATGCCATCAGCAGAAATTTGGTGCAGTTCAAAAGAAGAATATCTTCTACTGTCACAAAAGGCCGTGTTGGCACTTTTACCATTTGCAACCCACTTATATGCGTGAAACTGGGTTCTTCAACTATGTATCAACAAAAACAAAATACCACAACTGACTTGATGCTAAACCAAATTTGACAATTGAACGTTCATCAATAAAGCTCAATATTAAGTACATTTTTTTGTATTAGTAAAAAGAAATTGATCTCATCTCATTAAAATTAAAATTTTGAAGTCCTGTTCGACTATTATTTAATTTTTTTTCTAAAAATTAAATACACTTATTAATTATTATATGAAATTATTATAATTTGTATTGCAAATACTCCTACATAAAATTATGCATTAAAACGGTCTGAACAAATAAAGAGATTCACAATACAAGTGGACATAAAAAAGGGATCCATCGATAAAAAACTTTAAGGAACGTTGGTCATTAACATTACAGTAACTATAATTCATAGGCTGCATATGGTGGGCCCTACAAGCTCTGAAGAAAATCAACTACATTTTGACTGTCATTAATAATTTTTTTTTTTATGAACAATAACGCATTTTCTTTTGTATACCTAGAGTATTTAGTATTGATTATGGAAAATCTGTTTCTTTAGGTTTTCATATAGTGTTCTTAGTTATTACTAGTGCAAGACAAAATAATTCTGTGGTTAACCCATGATTATTATAGTTTATATCATAATATAAGGGTATAATACCTACTTATAATTGAAATTCACAATTTCCAATAAACACATACATACCTATATAATATGCATTAATAATCAGTATATTTTAAAACGTCGTC